GAAGGGATTGCTGCAAGGCCATCACCCCTGGCATGGTGATTTCTCACGTTCCTTCTCTCTGTCTCTCTCTGGTGAGCCCATGCACCAAATAGTCCCTCCCCCCCAAAAAAAAAAATGCTATTCTTTTTTCATAGTTTTGCCATTGGGATTTTGGGAAAAAGCCCAGCATAGAAGAACATTAGAGCAAGAGATACCCTTGGTGTTTATTGTGGTCACTAAGAGCAAGTAAAGAGGAATGACCTTTGGACATTATAGGACAGAAATGCCAAAGTTAGAGTAGAAAGTCAGAAAACATTTTTTCCTAAAGGAGAAGTCTTTGAGCCCTTGGGTCGGCAGAAGGAAGTGGTAGAAGCCTTTTTACTTGCCAACTAAAATAGGCATGACCTAAAAGAGCCTAAGAGAGCCCTTAGGGACCATGCTGGCCCAGACCAACCTGCATATCTGTTTGTCTCTGTGTCTCCCCCCACCCCACCCCGCTCTCCTTCTCTCATCTTAACATCCCTTTCTTGGCTGAAAATGTAGGGGGTTTTCTCAGTTGTAGATTTGGGACTTTGACCAATTCCCATCCTGCTTGAGAAAGTTCATAACAGTCATTCTAAAAGAATGGATGGAAGTAGATTCGTGGCCAGGCAGAGCATGGCCCACACGGCCTATTTGCCCAGCTGCACAGTGAAAACTGACATGGGAGGAAGGAATGCCTAGAGCCCAGGCTCTGGCATTGGTTACGACTGCCCCTCCAGGTGGCTCAGCCTTGGTTCTACACTAAGAGACAGTTACCTCTTGGAAAGGGATAAGTAGAGAAATGTCTTGTGTTTAAGTCTTGGAGTGTCCTCCTGTGCAGTGATGTGAGTCTAGGACTTTGTGCCCTGCAGAAGCTTATAAAGAGGAGCTAATACCTGCACCTTTGAAATGCAGTGATTTTTCTTTGTTTTACTTAGTTCCAGTTTTTAAATATTTGTTAGAGTGATGCCTGAGGCTGAAACTGGCTAGAAAGAAAAACGTTTAACAAAAATTATTTAGTTTCTTCATCTAAACCTCCCCAGTGTCAGAGCTCAGCTTACCTTCAGACAGCACTCATTGACTTACATACGCATCCCTTTCTTAGTACTTTCTTTAATGCTCGTATCCCCAGTCCCAGCATCTGTGTCCTCAATCATGAACTAAGCCTGTTTTTCAGTCTCGGCCTCCCATAGCTCATGTTTCCATCTGTTCAGTCTGTGTCCCCATTGTGTAACACACACTGCGTCATGTAAATGCTGCATGACCAATTTATGTCTCGGTTCAGTGCTTCTGTGCTGTGTGTCCTATTGACATGTAGGTTTATGTATATGTGTGTCTGTATTACTGAGTAACTTGGGCAGTCTGCACAGCCACTCACTAAACCCAAACTTTTTACTCTCCAAGTTCAAACAAGTGCCTATGCAGCACTGAATGATATCCACCTGTATTTGCTCATTGTTAAACACTGAGCTTCTAGAATGATGCTTGGCATATGGAAAGCATTTAATAAAAGTGTTTATTAGAGGGAACCAGCAGTTAGCGTAATGGCTATGTCGCTGGACTCCCACTTAGTCGACCGCGGTTCGTGTCCCGGACCTGGTGGCTTAAAACTCACGCTGGGTGCGTGTGCGTGCGTGCCCAAGATCCCGAGAGGAGAATGGAGGAGAAGGGATTGCGGAGTGACCATCCCCCCTGGGGGGTGATTTCTCGCTTTCTGTCTCTATGTCTCTCTCTGTCTGTCTGGCGAGCGCACGCACCCTACAGTGAAAATCTCTCAAAAAAAAAAAAAAAAGTGTTTATTAGATAGGCGAGTGGTCATTGTAATAAATCTGGTTACAGGACTGCCTCTGAGAGCTGCTGGCATATTGTCTTAGCATTACTATGTCTGTGGTAGAGATGACTCTGCCTTCTAATGTTTGTCCATTTATTGTCTTAATTGCATTACATTCTGTAGCCATTCTTTCTCCTATTACATTTATTTTTCTAATCAATTAGCTGGTAAGGAAAGACCATGGTGTTTCCTGGATCCTAGTTTCTTTGCCTACCTGATTAATCCCTGGGTGGGGTTTGGATATTTTACAGCTCTTGGATCTCTTCATCCAGTGGGATTGGTCAACCTACCTTGCTGACTATGGTCAACCCAACTGCAAGTACCTCCGGGTAAACCCAGTGACAGCTCTGACCCTGCTGGAGAAGTGAGTACCTAGTCCAGTGGTCTATGTTGGGAGATGGGGAGGGAATGACAGGGGTTGGTATAGAAGGTAATTTTTGCTTTGCTGATATCTTGAAAGACAGCCTTGTTCTTGAAGTTGCCATAGGTGCTCTTGATGGTCTCGTTAATTGGACAGGGCAGGCCAGTCTTCCTCTTATAGCTTCTTAACTCCTGAGCTCCCAAAGAGCTGGGCTAATAATGGGTCAGAATTGGACTCTGACATTACCTTGTAATTTAATGAGGCAAAATGTCTGACTAGAGCTGGCAGGAGAAGAAAGAAAGATCACTTAGTTTGGGGTTCAGGCCAGCCTAGAGAACAATGAGGTTGGCTCCAGTGACCTGGCATAAGATGAGGGACAGAGAAACCCATGGAAAAGGTGGCTTCTCTGGCACCTAGCAGAGAGGACTTGGGAGCAATTGAAACGTTTACGTCACAACTTCTGCCCCCTGCCAGAGTGAACTTTCTTGTACTGACTACCCCCAAGAAAGCTGTGTTGGAGATGTCCAGTTCTCGCCTAATGTAGCACTAGCCAGCAAAGGTTACCCTACCACAGACCTGTAAGGCCTCCGAAACAGAGATGCTACCACTAAAACTGGGTTAGCCAGCTCCAGAGTATCTCAGGCCTAGCCAACATATCTCCCAGAAGCTGGGATCTGCTATGCATTGGAACCTGACTCTGGCTTTTCCTAACCTAGTTGAAAGTTGGCAGACCAGAAACCAAGACCCATGTAAAAGGGGGACTGTTGCAATTGGAACAACCAGCTAACTCCCAGATGCTTAGAAGAGCACCCTGTACCTAGGTAGTGTACAGAGTTTACATATGGGGCTAGTATAAAATGTCTCAGATCCTAGAAAAGGAAGATCCAGAGCCTAGGAGATTAGAATGGAGTCTTAAACAGGAGAGGCCAAAGAATAGCCTTCTTACTATGTAATATGAAAGTGGGGAGTTAAGGGGAAGATGTGGAATTTAGAAAAAAGCAGGATACAGTAGTATGTTTGAGGTAAGAGGCTAAGAACTCAGAGTGCAGTTTTCTCCTGCCAATGTCAGAAGCTGATATTTCCATCTTAACTTTGTTTCCCATGGTTCTCTCTCCCATTGACCTTCCTTCCTAGGATATCTAGAGAGTAAGTATAATATTCACTTGGGCCTTTTCCATCACTTTGAGGCAAGTCCTTCTGGTTTCTTCATCAACACTAATGACTACACTAAAATCCCTACCCTGTGAGTTGTCCCTGCCCTGACATACTAATCTACTAAACCAGCCTGGTGCCAACTGGCTGGCTGCCTCCTCTCTCCTTGGTCCTCAGAGTGACCCTTGGCTTACCAATTCCTTTGGGGCTGGGAGTGGTGGCAAGCATTTTCCCCCATCAGTGCCAGGTAAAGAGCTGTTCCTGCTTAGCCTCCTGGCACAATTAATACATGGTACAGAGCCTGAAATTCAGCCCTGACAAAAGTTTTCTCAGCAGCCTCCCCTGGCTCCTGATGGAAGGGCCTATGGCTTTAAGATCTGGAACCTACTTCTCTCATGGAGGGTAGATATTTCATTAGAGACCAGGCCCAGTCCCAGAGTTCTTGCTATCCAGCAGAAATCAGGGGAACATTTTGGAACATTTTGGCCTTTGAGTTGATGTTTTAATGATCATATTCATGTGTCCAAATGGGCTCTGGGATTCCCTTTAGTCAGTTACCTCTCAGCAGTCCTTTCCTCCTCTTCCTGAGACTCTCTAGATCCTGGAAGTATTGGCTCATCCACTTTCTGCGGAACAACAAGCTAAAATAATCAACCTCTCACTACTGTTCTGGAAGCCTAGCCAGTAACAAAGCTCTGTGCTTAGCCCTAGCAATCAGCAAGTTTAAAAGCTTTCTTCTAAACACAGTTGGACAAAGGCCACCTAGATCACTAAACTCCAGGTCTCCCAGCCTCATAGGAGTTAGTCCCTTTACCTGACCCATTCCTGC